ATTAAACCCTTTTGAAACAATTAAAAGTAGAAACCAAATTTAAAAACAGAACTCAAAAGGTTAACTTCGGTTAACAAGGAACGGGATGGGTGGATTAGACAGCTTGCATCAGTTTGAGCACGTAGTAGATAGGAGATGCTGACTCCATGGGCCTGTTGGGGTGGGCCACTTGCCTTTCTTTCCTAGGGAGAATGTTTTTTTGTGGAATGCATCGCTGACTTTCTCATTCCCTCTGCTACTGGGCTACAAGTTTGTTCCCCACTGTATATGCCCAGCAACAAGGACAATCCATGGCACGTGGAAAAACCTCAGCGCATGTTCATTTTTTGGATGGCTAAATGGGCAGAGAGATGGCAGATGGTTTAATAGCATCTTCTGTTCTAGGCTGCTGTTGAGGGCACATGTCTTGAATATGCCGTGAACACTCTAACCTCACCTCTGTATCTGGCTGACTCCTTATTTCTGCAGGGGTCAGCCCAGATGTTGCTTCCTCTGGAAGCCTTCTCTGATCACCCTACTTCTCCCAAACAGGGTAAATATGTCTGCTGTGTATTTTATACAGCATCTTGAAGCGCTCAACATACCTCTTATTCACCTGTATTGCCTGTTAGAATAGGCTCTGTGAAAGCAGAGATTGTGTCTGCCTTGCTCATCATTGTATCCCCGGCACCTTGCCCAGTGCTTGGCCCTTAGTAAAACTAAACGCTTTGCTGTCGACTCGATTCGACTCACAGTGACCCTATAGGACAGAGTAGAACTGCCCCATAGGGTTTGCAAGGGTGTAATCTTTACGGAAGGAGACTGCCACGTCTTTCTCCCATGGAGTGGCTGCTGTGTTCAAACCACTGACCTTTCAGTTAGCAGCTGAGCACTCAAAGTACTGCGCCACCAGGGCTCCTCATGGGCCTTAATAGGTACTCAATAAATATTTGCATGAAATACTCATTTATTGAATGAATGAAGGAATGAATGGCATTATGTAGCCAGAAATTGTGTTTTGTCTCACTGCCTATTTTTGAAGACAGTTCTTCAGTTTGTGCTTCCTGCTGTTATTCAAGGAGACATTTTTTTGTCCATAACTCTGGCTTTTGTTAAAACAAAACCAGTAGACAAAAGCAGATTTGTTACTGCCTGCTGAGTTACTCTTTTGCTGCCAGTTTCAATTGCATATCTTAATCACCTGAAGTCATGCTTATGTATGTCTTGATAACTTTTTTTTATAATTAGGGTAGTCTGTTTTCATTCATATGTTGTCTGTACATTCTTGAAATACTTTTCTATAAAGACATTAGAACTGTGAGTTTTGCTTTATTGCAATTTTGAGGAATACAGTAAAATTCAGGCTGATCTTCAACTTTTTTCTTCAGCCAGAAGAACCTGTCCATTGTCAGTTTTAAAAAATAACTGCTTTATTGGGATATTATTCAAATGCCATAAAATTCATCCTATTATAGTTTACAATTTAGTGTTTTATAGTATATTCGCACAATTGTGCAACCATCACCACCATATAATTCCAGCACATTTTCACCATCCTAGAAGAAATCTAAATATCTTTTAGCAGTCACTCCCTATTCTGCTTCTGTCTCTATGGATTTCTCTATTTTGGACGTTTGAATTCTGGACATTTCATATAAATAGAATCCTAATATGTGGCCATTTATGTCTGGCTTCTTTCACTTATCATAATGTTTGAAAGGTTTATTCATGTTCTAGCAAGTATCAGTATTTCATTCCTTTTTATGACCAAATAATATTCCATTGTATGTATATATAATAATCTGTTTATCCATTGAGCAATTGATGGATATTTGGATTGTTCCCACTTTTGGGCTATTATGTATAATGTTACTATTTGAACATTTGTGTATAAATGCTTATATAGAAACATTTTTAATTATCTAGGAAATTGAAATTCCACTTAGTAGAATTGCAGGGTAATATGGTAACTCTGTGTTTAACTTTTTAGGAATATCCATAAGCAGTCACAGAAAACTGCCAGACTGTTTTCCAAAGTGGCTGCGCCATTTTACGTTACTACCAGCACTATATAAGGGTTCTAATTTCTCCACATCCCTGCCAGCACTTCTTATTGTTGTTCTTTTTGATAGAGCCATCCTAATGGATGTGAAGCGGTATCTCGTTGTGATTTTGGTTTACATTTCCCTAATGATTAATGCTGTTGCACACCTTTTCATATGCTTATTGTCATTTGTATATTTTCTTTGGAGACATGTCTATTCAAATCTTTTGTCCATTTTTAAATTGGTTTATTTTGTATTTTTATTATTGAGTTGTAAGAGGTCTTTATATATTCTAGATACAGCTTCCTTATGAGACATATGATTGCAAATACTTTTTTCCATTCTGTGTGATGTCTTTTCGTTTTCTTTTTTTTAATTTTTTTTATTGTACTTTAGATGAAAGTTTACAGCACAGATAGTTTCTCATTAAACAATTAGTACACATGTTGTTTTATGACACTGGTTAACAACCCCACGACGTGTCAACACTCTCCCTTCTCGACCGTGGGTTCCCTGTTACCAGCTTTTCCGTCCCCTCCTGCCTTCTAGTCCTTGTCCGTGGGCTCTTGTGCCCCATTTAGTCTTGTTTTGTTTTATGGGGCTGTCTAATCTTTGGCTGAAGGGTAAACCAAGAGAACGACTTCATTACTGCGCTAAAAGTGTCCGGGGACCATACTCTTGGGGTTTCTTTAGTCTCTGTCAGGCCAGTATGTCTGGTTTTGTGAGTTAGAATTTTGTTCTACATTTTTCACTAGCTCTGTCTGGAACCCTCTATTGTGATCCCTGTCAGAGCAGTCAGTGGTGGTAGCCGGGCACCATCTAGTTGTACTGGACTTCGTCTGGTGGAAGCCGTGGTAGTTAGTCCTTTGGACTAATCTTTCACTTGTATCTTGTTTTCTTCATTCTCCCTTGCTTCCAAAGGGGTGAGACCAGTGGAGTACCTTAGATGGCTGCTCACAGGCTTTTAAGACCCCAGACACTCTCACCAAGGTAGAATGTAGAACATTTTCTTTATAAACTATGTTATGCCAATTGAGCTAGGTGTTCCCCGATACCAGAGTCTCCACAGCCCTCAGCCCAGCAATTCAGTCCCTCAGGGAGTTTGGATGTGTCTGTGGAGCTTCCATGACCTTTCCTTGTACAAGTTGTGCTGGCTTCCCCAGTGTTGTGTACTGTCTTACTCTTCACCAAAGTTACCACTTATCTATTGTCTATTTAGTGGGCCCCCACCCCCACCCCTCCCATCCCTCATAACCATCAAAGATTGTTTCTTTTTGTGTACAGACCTTTTCATGAGTTTTTACAGTAGTGGTCTCATACAATATTTGTCCTTTTGTGATTGACTTATTTCACTCAACATAATGCCCTCCAGGTTCATCCATGTTATGAGATGCTTCACAGAGTCATCATTGTTCTTTATTGTTGTGTAATACTCCGTTGTGTGTATGTACCATAGTTTGTTTATCCATTCATCTGTTGATGGGCATCTAGGTTGTTTCCATCTTTTTGCTATTGTGAACAATGCTTCAGTGAACATGGATGTGTCTTCGTTTTCTTTGATGCATGTTTAAACATTAAAAGTTTTAAGATTTTTTTGAAATCCAATTTACCTGTTTTCTTTTGCTGTTTATGCTGATCATCTAAACCTAGGTCAAGAAAATTTACTCCTATGTTTTCTTCTAAGTGTTTTATAGTTTTAGTTCTTAACATTTAGGCCAATGATCCATTTTGAGTTCATTTTTGTATATGGTGTGGGTTAAGGCTCCACCTTCAGTCTTTTGCATGTGAGTATCCAGTTGAAAAAGACTATTCTTTCCCCCATTGAATTGTCTGGCACTCTTGTAAAAAATCAATTGTCCATAAATGTGAGAGTTTTTTTTTTTTTTTTTGGTCTCTGAATTCTGTTCCATTGATCTATGTATCTTTACTTATGCCAGTACTACACTGCCTTGATTACTGTAGCTTTACAGTAACTTTTGAAATCAGGAAGTTCTTCTTTTTCAAGATTGTCTTGGCTATTCTGGGTACCTTGCATTTCCATATGAGTTTTAGGATCAGCTGGTCAATTTCTGCAAAAAAAAAAAAAAAAAAAGGCAGCTGGGATTCTTATAGGGATTGCATTGAATCTGTAGTGTTCACTGTCATTTGGCATGAGACTTTGGCTTATCTCTTGGGTGAGTTGCATGGGCTCCTTATAAAATGCATAGATGTGATCTTATTGGGACTTGTTACTGACTTTAGATTGCAAATGACTGGAAACTTCAGGAAAATGTCACTGAAGTATAACATACAGAAATCATAAGTATTCACCTTGATGAATATTTACAAAGTGAGCACACCTGTGTAATGAGAACCCAGATCGAGAGACAGAACATTGCTGGTATCATCGGGGACTTTAGGATTTGCTTTGGTTTAGATTGATTCATTTATCTGTGTACTCTTGAGAGTCAAAGGCTTATCTTAACTGTATATTGGGAATGTCCGCTCAGAGACATAGCATAGTCTAGTGCTTGAGATCATGGATTCTAGAACCTAGGCTGCCTGGGTTTATGTCCCAGCTCTGCCACTTATTAGCTGTGAGACCACGGTCAAGTGACCTAACCTAACCTCTCTGTGTCTGTGTCCTCATTTGTAAAATAAGGATAAAACTAGCTCATGGAGAGGATTTATGTAAATTACTTTCACTAGTGCCTGACAATCATCGTAAGTACCCTGTGTGTGTTAACTTACTGTTGTTGTTATGGTTCTTGTTATTACTGTGTATCTCTTCACGAGAATATCAACCCGTTGAAGGAAGACCTTGTCTGATTTATTTATCATTGTATTCCCAGGCACTAAAATTGTGCCTGGCACATAGTAGATATTGAATAAATTTTTGAGGAAGGAAGGGAGGGATTTTAAATAATGAGTGACAGAATTCCTAAATCCTTTCCTGAAACCACCTTTGACAGCTATACGGTCTTTTATTTACAACAGCTTTTGGAGCTATTTGACAGTGAAGACCCTCGGGAACGGGACTATTTAAAAACAGTCTTACACAGAATTTACGGCAAGTTTCTTGGTCTTAGAGCATTTATCCGAAAACAGATTAACAATATTTTTCTAAGGTAAGTGGAGGGCGGGGAGAGAGAGAGAAGAAAAGTTGGTGTTTTTATAGAAGTATTAGGTAAATGCAAATATTTGAACTTAATATACTGACTTTACTCTTTTTATTTTATTATTATTTTATAGGTTTGTTTATGAAACAGAACACTTCAATGGTGTAGCTGAACTGCTGGAAATATTAGGAAGGTAAGCACATTTTAATCTAATTGCTCATCTCGGGTGAATAGCATTCTGAAAATTAGGTTCAGGTGGCACAGTGGAAATACTGACCTATAATTCTTGCTGTATGTACATTTGGTTTTCTCATTTGTGCTTAGCATGTTTTCCAACTGACTTTATGAGACATGCATCCCTGTTCCCCTTGTTCAACAATGATACATTGCTGATTCCACTGGAGTGACTGAAAGAGCCGTCAATCTATTCATTACTGCAGAGCCAATACATCTAATAGTGGTCAGCCCAATTATTACCAAACAGCTTATTCTCATTCATTTCTAGACTGCCTGTCCTTTTTGTATCTGTTGAAAGTCAAGTTTATAAGACATTTGAAAAGATCGCCATTTTCAGAGGAGCTGTGTGCCCTGGTGTATTTCTTGAACAGGTGCTGCCTGGAGTAGTGGAATGAATTTGAAAGAGACAGCTGTTGTGTAGCTTTCTACACAGAAGGGAAGCTAATATAACTGAACAGTGTGATTACTTACTCTTTCTTCCTAACATGAGGAGAAGAAGAAGGTGAAGGCATTAGAGTTTTCTCTCAGCAACTTCCTAACCATGAGTGTTTTTGGTCTGGGCAGAAATTTCAGGAATGGGAAAGGAATGATGTCTGGAAATGGAAGGAGTCATATTTAAAGAGGAAGTGAGCAAGGCAGGCAGTTATTTGTGGGAGAAAAAGATAGAAGGAAAAATAAAGGCCTTTTGATACCAAAACTTTTGGGAACCATCTCACTGTGTTTAAGAAAAGCACAGAGCCTTTGCTGGGTAATCATAAGCAAATTTTCTTCTGTTAAATTTCTTCCTTTGAAGTGACTAAGAAATCTTGAATGCCACTGGGGTGGGTTTTGGGTTGTTATTGACCAATATAAACTGATTAAAATTTAACCCAGTCTCACACTGACAGTTTGTCTCAGTTTAGCTTGTTGTGGTAACATTGCTAATTTGTGTCTCTCTTCTTTTTCCTAGTATTATCAATGGCTTTGCTTTACCTCTTAAGGCAGAACACAAACAGTTTCTGGTGAAAGTGTTGATCCCTTTACACACTGTCAGGAGCTTATCACTCTTCCATGCTCAGGTAGAATGTTGTACACCTATTTTTGGAGCAAAATAAAACGTTTGCAAATGCAAGGATTTCTTTAATATTGGGAAAGTTTCCTTATTTTAAAAAAGACTTGTTAAAGTTTAAACTACTTCACGAGGGAAATGAAAATGTGTATTTTTTTGCTCTTCACAGTAGAATTATGGGAATATTTTTAAAGTGGGAAGAGCTATCTTTGTTCAGCTATCTCATTTTATAGAGAACTTCAATGACTTGCCCAAGATCACACAAGTATATTCTGAACAAGTTACATGTAATAAAACATACGTGGGCTTTTCAGATTTCGATCTTTGGACAAGTGTAATCATTTTTTAATGTTCTTGAATATTTTAGTCACATCCTCACTCTGCATGCATCTATTATTTGCCCTTCTCCCCCCTTTTCTAGTTCATTCATCATTTCTTTTTCACATTTTACACACAAATAAATACTCTTACAGGTAAAAAAAAAAAATTCAGTCAGTTATTTGTCTATCTTTTTTTAGCCTTCATTACTTTAAAAACATATCCTGCTCTTGTCCCCACCCTAATTTCCTTGCTAACACTGCCTTGCATGATAAGCATGTCACTAGCGGGTAGATAAATGATCTACTGGCATTTTTAATTTTAGTATTTCCAACCTCTGACTCCCTCCTCCCCTCAATGGGAATGTTTTGAGTTTGCCTAAAAATGTAACACATTTTCCTGTTTAAATGTGAAATGCTATGTTTCGAGGAAAATTAGCCTGTATGTTTCTAATATGGAACACCATCAAAATATTGTTTTGCAAGGGTGGATTTCTGGTCCAAGAATTTTTACGAGCCCTATTACAAATCTTGCTTTTTGTGTTTGGAACGGGATATCACATTTAGTCATCTTTTAAAAGAATTTACCTAGATGAGTCAGCATCCAACGTAGAACTCTTTTTACATTTCTCCAGGTTATAACTGTGGTAGGCATAACCTTTTATCTGTTCATGAAACTGTGCTTTCGTTTGTGTGTGCCATTTCAGGCATTCAGCAAGGTTTTTAGTAAGTACCTATCCTGTCTTGGACTCTTCTGGGGTTACAGTAAAACCCAGTACTGTCAGTGTTAGCAAAGAGAGAAGGGAAGCTTATGGTGGGGGTGTAGGGATGAGGGGTAGACAAACTGTTTAGATTCTTCACTCAGAGATGTAGCTCAAACCATGAGATACTTTTAAAATATACTGAATGTGATATTTCACGTCTGCTTTTCATTAGCTGGATACTTCATATTCCAGTACACTCTTTTTCTCTTTTTTAAAATTCCCCTGGAGCTTTATTAGTGTCAATCTTTGGCCTGAAAATGTAGCTTTTTATTTTGCTTTATATGTATTTTATTTCTATGGTAGTTGAAATGAATGTGAAGTTATTAAAACCAGAGTCTGGCAACTTTTAAGGAAATTTTAATAATATATCATTTGAGCTCCTACTGTATAGAATTTATAATTTTGTCTTTCATATTTTTTTGTTTCTTCAGCTGGCATATTGCATAGTACAGTTTCTGGAGAAAGATCCTTCACTCACAGAACCAGTAAGTATTATCTCCGTAATTTCATACAACCTCAGAAAGACCACTTTGCTTGAAAGTGTATATGAAAAATGAAATGTCATTTGTTTTTCTCTTTCTAATTTTAGGTTATTAGGGGATTAATGAAATTTTGGCCCAAAACATGTAGTCAAAAAGAGGTAAGTGCTTCACATCAGAGTGTGAATAGCTTATGGAGGGCTTTACTGAGTGCCAGGCACTGCCCTAAGCACGTGTGAAAATGCATTATCTCATCTAGTCCTCAGCTAGCTCTGTAAGGCAGGACTTTAAATACTCTTGTTTTACTAATGATGAACTTAAGGCTTAGAAATTGAGCCTGCCCAAGTCCACTAGGTATAGAACTGTAGACTAGGCCAGAACGTGCCTTCCTGACTCCTGGAACCCCTGGGCTTTTAACCACTGTGCTGCTCAGCCCCAGGTAAGCCTAGGCCAGGCCCCAATCATATTGGCTAGCTCTGTTCATGTCACCTTCCCAGTGACTGCCTTCGTGGTATAGAGGTTTTGCCGTTGCTGTAGATAGAAGCTAGAGCACACTTCCCCAACAGCCACATAATGTAGATGGGAGCTTCCTGTGTGTAATCTTAAAACATGGAATAAGCCTTTAGTGTTAGCTGTTCACAAGTGATCCTGGAGGTCTGTGACATACAGTCATTTGTACTGTTGCCAAGACCTAACCAGACATATGCTGTGTGAGGTTGTTTTGGGTGAGTGAGTCTCTTAGTTTGGCAGTGAGCCTAGCTGGGCACCAGATCAGCAGCCACTCTTCTGAAAGGTTAGAAACCATGGTTCTTTGTGGACAGTGACCTAGAAAAGAAAGGTTAGCTGTCAATTTTACATTTTGGAAGGATTTTGGGAGAACTTCTGTATGCATTTTGACACATGGCAAGATCTACCTACTATGTTTTGCTTGTAACAGAAACACTCTGCTTCTCACATCATCTCAGTTCTCCAAAACCCTACCTGACACAATTTCAGGAAGTCATCTCATTCCTTGATACCTGCTAGGTAAAATTAAACTCCGCATTGCTACTCAGATGATCTAAGGATGTGAAAGCATTGTTATTTTTCTTATTTTCATTGCAGACTTAATTTTTTCTAAGGTAATTATTTTTTTCACAGCTAAATAGGTAACTGGCTTCTATATAATTTTCCACTATATTCAAAATAGTTGACTTCCTATTGATTTGGCTCTATTTTATGATCTGATAGCTCTGTATCCCAAGGCATTCAGTGCTGAGGTCACGAGAGTCATTGTCGTTTATAGTGAGCGTGGGTGTGGGTGTGGGTGTAGAGAGTGGGTCAGCCTGTGCAAATGGTACTTGCATGTGGGTGAGTCTGCTCGTTTGTGTTTCTTGGATTTTGTCTGTTGTGTTAACTGATGTATCCTAGAGGAACACCTACACATAGCAGGGGCTGTAAGTATCGGATGAATGACTGTGTGTGCCTCAGTGGTCTTTTGCACATCCATGCAAGAGGGCTACCCTCCCGTTAAAAAAAAAGGGGGAGAAGGAGGGAGAGATAACTGGAGTGATAGCAATAGACGGAGAGTCCCACAGGGACAGTTCTGTTTTCCAGGGACCCCACTGCAGTGTGCAAGTGTCCCTTACTCTGTAATAGAGATGGCACATAAAGTGTTTATTAAAAGTAAATAGAATCATATTTTTAGTGCTGTAGGGAAGTCGCTTTTAAGAAGTACCCTGTTGTGAATTCTTTGTGAAATGAACACCTTCTAATGTGAAGTAGTGCCTGCCTTTGTTTCATTTGTTTAGTTTTATATGTAAACTTTTCTTAAAACAGTGCAAATTTCTCATTAATCCCCATTGTTCAGATAGATTTTTAATGAAGCACCTGACATTTTGTGTTTTGCATGTGTTCACAGGTCATGTTCCTTGGGGAGCTGGAAGAAATATTGGATGTGATTGAACCTTCACAGTTTGTTAAAATTCAAGAACCTTTGTTTAAACAAATTGCCAAGTGTGTATCTAGCCCCCATTTTCAGGTTAGTAATAAAAAGAACATGAGGCAGAGTCACCTAGACAAGATGAATTATTTTGGTTAAATTTAATTTGTATTGAAAGAAATACAATGGACGTGAGATAGCTGTTGTTTTTGTCTGCTATTTTCTCACATGCTAACAATAATTGTTAATGATAGTCACCTTTTTTTTGAGCAGCTGCTACATAGAAGCCACTGTGATGGTGCTTTCTGTTCATTAGCTGTAATTCTCATCACCACCTTGAAGTGATGGTATAATATCTTTTATAGATGTGAACACTGGGGCTCAAAATGGTAAACAGCTTGTCTCTAGTTAAATAGCTGAATGAGAGTAGGCTGGTAGAGCACCTATAGTGTGCAAGAGAGAATGCTAAATAATGCCTAAGAGAAAAAGAGAACCCTAATGTCCTATCTGTGTTCCATGCTTCATGTACAGTCTTTCTAAACCTCAAATTATCCTTTGAGGCCCCTTTTTCATTTTTCAGAGGAGAAAAATGAGGCTCAAAGTGATTTGCTGAAGGTTCTGTACCTAATAGGGAATTGAGTCAGATTTTGAATTTAAATGTAACTTCTTGCTCAAGCCCATGACCTTGTCGTAGCACCGCTCTGCCTCCTTGTGGCCACGCAGGGAGAGCTGGGAAAGAGAGCCTGGGCAACACTTTTCTTTGATTGGAGCAGCAGCTGCAGTGCTGCAGAACCTACACATGATGGAGGAAGGGTGATCTGAATTGAAAACATGTTAGGTTTTATTCTTTGACTGTTTCACCAAAGGCCCAAATCACAAACCTGGACACTCTTTATGTACTGTCAGCAATAGGAAGAGATTGTTCAGATTGTAGTTCACAGCACAGCACCACACCTCTAACATGGCCCTCTTATGGTGGAATTTTGCATAATTAGACACTGGCTGCTGTTGTGGTTTTAATTTTTGATCTAAAGACATTGTGACACACAAACACACGCAAAAGTGGAAACCATTGCATTAAGTGTTCAGATGATACAGTACATGTCTAGATTAAAATAGAAAAATTACAAGATAATATGTAGATATTTTGCATACTATACAGGGCTCCTGGTGCTCAGACATCTGGCTCGTTTACCTTATTTTTTATTGTTCATCAGGATGTTCGGCATTATGGAGGGCAAAGATCAGCAGTCTCTTAAAATGACCATCACTAGGGAGACTTAAATGATACTCAGAAGCTTAGAAAGGAGAGGGGAAAAAGAATTTTAAGTATTTGACAGAAGTAAAACTGAGAAAAAAAAAGAAAGAGTAAAGAGGTTCTTGTTTACTTATTTAAGTGTTCATTAGTTCATCCAGTAAATATTTATTAAGTGCCAGTTCTGTAGCCAACACCTACCACTACTTTTCTGTAGCCAACACCTACCACTGCCTGTCCCAGGTGTGGCATCGGGGCCAGAGGTCTCCAAGCTAGAGACGCTGCCATTGTGTGTGCAGGACAGTGAGTCCCAGGAAGGTATTGGTTCCACATCCTAATGTCAGATATGGTGATTTTTACTTGGATAAACAACACCACCTTTCCTCTTTAAGGGGCTTTACTAGTTACTGACTTTTCTTATGAAAGTGATTTAACATATTAAAAAGTAGATATAAAGAGATCGAGATGCTCTTTAAAGTTAAGTAACACGTAAATCTTAAACTCGTAATTGGGCAAAGAAAGTCTGAGGCTCCTCCTTCTTTACACACCCTCCTGTGATCTCTTTAAATATTCCTCCTTCCAGTTACACTTCTCAGAATAGCCTTATTTGCATTCTTTCTTCTCTCCCCTATCTTCCTTACCTCATGCTCTGTCTCCTCAGCTACACTGTTCTATTTGATGGTTTCCAAACACATCATTCATACAGGTGCCTTTACCCTCTTCTCTGTAATTCCCTCTGCCTGGAATGACTTTTCTCTCCTCCTTCCTTCATCTTTCAAGACCCAGCTTAAATACCACTTCGTCTATTACGTACATTCCTGCTACCCCTCTTCTCCAAGTCTTCTGGATTGTTCATTCTGCTCTTTCCTTTGGCACTTTATTTATATATCTGATACAGCATATGTTACAGCATACATTGAATAGCCTCATAGATGCCCCCCTTACCCCATCAGAATATAAGCTCCATAGGGGTAACAGAGTAAAGAGATTGAGAGCAGGGACTTTGGAGTTTGCCACTTGCTAGCCATGGGACCTTGAACCAATGGCTTAACGTCTCTGAGCCTCCGCTTCCTGATTTGCAAAATAGAAATAAGGGTACCTGGCCAACCTACTGGAAGAGATCCATATTTGTGCCCATTCCAAAGAAAGGTGATCCAGTAGAATGCAGAAATTATCAAACAATATCATTACTATTACATGCAAGTAAAATTTTGCTGAAGATCATTCAAAAGCAGTTGCAGCAGTACATCGACAGGCAATTGCCAGAAATTCAAGCTGGATTTGGAAGAGGGTATAGAACAAAGGATATCATTGCTGATGTCAGCTGGATCTTGGCTTAAGCACAGAATACCAGAAAGATGTCTACCTGTGTTTTATTGACTATGCAAAGGCATTCAGTTGGGTGAATCATAACAAATTATGGATAACATTGCGAAGAATGGCAATTCCAAAACACTTAATTGTGTTCATGCAGAACCTGCACATAGACCAAAAGGCAGTCGGTCAAACAGATCAAGGGGACACTGAGTGGTTTAAAATCAGAAAAGGTGTTTGTCAGGGTTGTATCCTTTCACCATACTCATTCAGTCTGTATGCTGAACAAATAATTCAAGAAGATGGACTGTGTGAAGAAGAACACGGCATCAGGATTAGGAGAAGACTCATTAACAACCTGCGATATGCAGGTCAGACAGCGTTGCTTCGTGAAGGTAGACTTGAAGCACTTATTGATGAAGATCAAAGACTAGCCTTCAGTATAGTTTACACCTCAACATAAAGATAACAAAAAAATCCTCACAATGGACCAGTAAGCAACATCATGATAAATGGAGAAAAGATTGCAGTTGCCAAGGATTTCATTTTACTTGGATCCACAGTCAACGCCCATGGAAGCAGCAGTCAAGAAATCAACCGATGTAATGCGTTGGGCAAATCTACTACAAAAGACCTCATTAAAGTGTTTAAAAGCAGATATGTCACTTTGAAGATTAAAGTGCCCCTGACCCAAACCATGGTATTTTCAGTCGCCTCATATGCCTTTGAAAGCTGGGCAGTGAATAAGGAAGACTGAAGAAGAATTGATGCCTTTGAATTATGATGTTGGCAAAGAATATTGAATATCCCATGGATTGCCAGAAGAACAAACAAATCTGTCTTGGAAGAAGTACAGCCAGAATGCTCCTTGGAAGCAAAGATGACAAGACTTTGTCTCATATACTTTGGACACGTTATCGGGAGGGACCAGTTCCTGGAGAATGACATGATGCTTGGTAAAGGGTCAGCAAAAACCCTCAATGAGGCGAATTGACACAGTGGCTGCAACAGTGAACTCAAGCATAGCAACTGTTGTGAGGATGGCACAAGACGGGACAGTGTTTTGTTCTGTTATATATGGTGTCTCTGTGAGTTGGAGTCAACTCAGTGACACCTAAGAACAACTCTGTTGGTTGTGAGGATTAAATGAGATAACATATATGAAACACTTAGCACAGTGCCTGGCACATAGTAAATATTCAATCATGATAAATTGTTTTCTTTGTACTTTTGAGGTTAACGCCTGATGCGTCTCAGGGTTTTGTTGATCTAAGTTGAATAATGTAAATGGAAAGGTTCTAATTTCTCGGAGATTCTTGGTGGGTGCATTTTATACCATTTTATTTCTTCAAATAAACACTTTCTTAATCTCTATGAATGAAGGAAATTGCTGTTTATCTCCCATGTAACTACTCTTTTTAGAGATCTGAAGTTTTTATTTCTGACGTGTTCCTGTGAATTCTTAAAATCCAGGATGAGCAACCCAGGCCCAGCTGACCAAATACTATTAGTGTCACAGTGGAATACTGCAGAACAGTAAAGAACAATGATGAATCCGTGAAACATCTTATAGCATGGAGGAATCTGGAAGACATTATGCTGAGTGAATGTAGTCAGTCACAAAAGGACAAATATTGTATAAAACTACTATTAGAAGAACTCAAGAAAAGGTTTAAACACAGAAGAAAACATTGTTTGATGGTTATGAGGGTAGGCAGGGAGCGAGAGGGGTATTCACTAACTAGGTAGTAGACAAGAATTATCTTAGGTGAAGGGAAGGACAGCACACACTACAGGAGAAGTCAGCACAACTGGACTAAACCAAAGCTGAGAAGTTTCCTGAATACAACCAAACACTTCGGGGGACAGAGTAGCAGGGGCGGGGGTCTGGGGTCATGCTTTCGGGACACATCTAGGTCAATTGACATAACAAAGTTTATTAAGAAAATGTTCTGCATCCTACTTTGGTGAGCGGTGTCTGGAGTCTTAAAAGCTAGTGAACGGCCATCTAAGATTCATCAATTGGTCCCAAGTCACCTGGACCAAAGGAGAATGAAGCACACCAAAGTCACAAGGAAAGTATTAGCCCAAGAGACAGAAAAGGTCACATAAACCAGAGACCGCATCAGCCTGAGACCAGAAGAACTAGACGGTGCGCAGCTACCACCAATGACTGCCCTGACAGGGAACACAACAGAGAGTCCCTGATGGAGCATGAGAAGAGTGGGGTGGAGAACTTTTATTCTAGTAAAAAGACCAGACTTAATGGTCTGACTGAGACTGGAGCATCCCCAGAAAGCATGGCCCCTGGACTCTCTGTCACCCCAGAACTAAAACCATTCCCGAGACCAACTCTTCAGACAAAGATTAGACTGGACTATGGGACATAAAATGATACTTGTGAAGAGAGTGCTTCTTAGCTCAAGTAGATACATGAAACTACATGGGCAGATTCTGTCCAGAGGTGAGATGAGAAGGCAGGAGAGGGTTAGGACTGGTTGCATGGACATGGGAAATCAGAGGTAGAAAGGAGGAGTGTGTTGTCACAGTATAGGGAGAGCAATTAGGGTCACATAACAACGTATGTATAAATTTTTGTATGAGACACTAACTTGAATTGTAAACTTAAAGTACAACAATTAAAAGAAGATCAAATACTGTTAGTGTCATTCGGTAATATGGTGGGCAGAGAAAAGAGATTTAAGAATGCAAGTGTGTGTATGTTCATTCAGTGTCCCTGAGTCCAGAAACTGAGTGGCTTTCCTCTAGTTTGCCCCATTCAAAGGAAGGGACCAGAAATGAATACCAGAAAGAGCCTGGGCACTAGATACGAGTCCCCAGATTTTCCCAGTTACTGGCAGGGTGACCTTGGACATGTTACCCGATCTTTCTGAACCTCGGTGTTCTCATCTATAAAATGAAAATAATGCTTACTCCTAGGATGGTGGTAAGGATGTACGGTTTACCTGCAGTACTGGCACAGTGTTTGGCCCAAAGGAGCTACTTAACAAAGGCAGATACTATGCAGGGATGGGCAGGTGACTTGCCCTCAGCAGCTGTTTACTGAATCACCCTATGGCTCATCTGAAGTGTATGGGATGAAAGAGATTATGTGTAAGGGAGATCTGTAAGATGGGTTAAAGTGATGAGGAAAACACTGGTGTATACAAGTAAGATTAAGATGTTTGGGGCTTGGGAGCTATGCAGGGAAAATGTGGACTCAGATGAGAGGGGCAGTATTAAGAGAAAAATATAAATAAGCAGGTAGGAAAACTTACTTCTTTTCATTCCCCAAGTTGATGAACCTCTTTGGAACTTTCTGAGAGATTTTAAATCCACAAAGATGTAAAATATGATTAATTTTACTTTAGATTGAATGATAAAAAAAATAGTCTCTTAAAATACATTTTATTTGGAAAGGTTATAATTTTTGTATTTTTCTGTCTTAATTTTTTTTTTTCTTTTTTCCAAAGGTGGCAGAAAGGGCACTCTATTATTGGAATAATGAATATATCATGAGTTTAATAGAAGAAAACTCTAATGTCATCCTTCCCATCATGTTTTCCAGTCTTTATAGGATTTCTAAAGAACATTGGAATCCGTAGGTTTTCACAGTTCCCTCCCTCCTTCCTTTCCTTTTGCTTAATAAAATGTTTTTAATGCTTGCTATGTGCCAGATATTGTACTTGTTGTTGGAGAAAGGTACGTGAAAAGATAAAATCCCAACCTTTTAGGAATTCACTGACTGGTTAAGAAGACCCACAAGTACACAGGTATTTTATAAAATAGGGTTTGAAGTGCTGTTTTATTAAAATACCTGTTTACTTCCTGGGTTCCCTGACCTGTGAATGTAGCAGGGATATTTTGGGGACACTCTGGAACTGAGAGGGGAGGAGGCTTGTGGATATTGATAAGGAGGTGGTACTTGAACTGAATCTAAAAGGACAGGTGGATGGGATGGGGGAAGCCCTTTCAGACAGTGGGTCCATCTACCACATAAAAAGGCACCAACCTGCAAGAAGCACCTGTTCAGTTCAGAGACCGGTGAGCTTGGGAAGGCTAAAGCTCAAGGCCTTTGGGAGAGAGTGCCGGAAGATGAGGCTAGAAAGCAGGGTGCCAGAAGATGAGCCTTCACCAAGTGAGTGATAAGGGAAATGATCTAAGTAGATTTGCATTTTAGCAGGATCCATTTCTTAACAACAAACTCAGTTATTTATACATATTTTCTGGGGGAAAAATAGTTTAAAATCTTCCAGGGTAAGGTTAATATCTAGCCCTATGAAAATTAAAGCATTCTGTATTTTTTATAGTGCTGCCTAGTTCTCTGTGCGATTGAAAACAAATTTAATGTGGCATTAAAAAAACTAGTAGTCACAGTTTGGAATATTCATAGTATGTTTGTCTTTAAAAGTTTTGCATGTAATTGTAAAATGTCCTATTTCTCCTTTTTCAAATTTGGCAAATTTTATTAATAAAACTTGTAAAAATAAATAGCTGGTAAACAGTTAAGTCCCAGTATTCAGCTAATCTCTTGAGGAACTTAGGAGTGGTTCTAGTGAGTGTCTTTAACAGCCCTTTTCCAATGCTGCCCATCACATTTGAAGAAGGTCAGTTCTTAAAACGAAAGAGCTAGCTTCATTTTTCTTTTTATTGGGCACAGGGCAGAAACACCACCACAAGTACACTTTCTTGTAAATGCTTTGGAAGCGTCAAACTCATTTATTTAACATATGCCTTAATTATTACCGATACCTTTTTCTATTGTAGTGGGAATACATTTGTTTCAAAATGGAAGCGAAGTGTGTTTCTGCAGCAGGCAAAGCTATTTAGACCCAGTCTGTGAAATATGAAGCCTATCATGGCACAGTCCTCACAGTGCCCCAAGAGCTTATTCTTTCACTAGATAAGCAAGGGCCGCCATTTTGGCTATGTAGCTGTGCAATGTTCCACAGCCACTAGCAGATATCACCAGCTTGCCAATTATCTTAACAGCATGTGGGTTGGGTCAGCAAGGGGACCAAGCAGGAATGGATGGACCCATGCAAATCACAACTAGAAAAATAACTCATATTACTGCCCAGCTTACAGGGGTTTGGTGTCATTTCCTTGAATATGAACAGTTAATACATATATATATATAGAGAGAGAGAGTATGTGTTTCCATGGGAACAGCTTTTGATTTTGATGAATTATGTATGTTATTCCTTTAAAAATAAAATTCTATGCAAATACAGGTCTCTAAGGTTAGTCCTAGCACAGGTGCACAGGTGCTCATTTTTTAGTGTGAAGTTGCTTTATTTTTATACTTGCCTTTTAATTATGTAGTGCCCACAGTAAGTCTATTCTGGGTACCAATAATTAGAAGGGCAGAATTAGATTTTTTTTTTTTTTAATCCTACCAATCCCGCAGAAAGATCTCTTGCCTTGAATACTAAAGAATATAACTCTCTTAATGCGTAAATGAACTGGAGGTCATTTCTAGTTGTTCAACTAAAAAGGAATGGAGATAGACTATGCAAAACGAGAGGCTCACTTGAACAAAAGTGCCTACGCTTTCTTTATTCAGCATCCTATTAAGGATAACCGAAATGTTTCCTTTTCTCTGTGCTTCACAGGGCTATTGTGGCATTAGTGTACAATGTGTTGAAGGCATTTATGGAAATGAACAGCACCATGTTTGATGAGCTGACAGCCACATACAAGTCAGATCGTCAGCGGTAACTTTTTAAAGCTTTTTTGTCAGCTGTGAATAAAGCTATCTATCGAGTTCTTTTCTTGCTCTTTGCTGAAGTTGCCTAATTGCGCCCGAAATCATAAGCAGCACCATTTTATTTATTTATATATTCATTTTTGCATGCTCATTAGCTGTGTCCTTACAAGTGTGCCACTGGGTAACGAAGCTTGTGACAGTATCATTTTGATAAAGCCTGCTTTCCTCCCTTTCCTTCAATAATAGTTCAGTTCCGCCTTAGGGTCGAGAGCCTGACACATAACTGGTATTTCAGGCCCACTTAGGAGAAACCATCAGATAGTTTGCCATCTGGATTCATCCCAATTCTAAACTTTATCTGACCTAGAATTAGGCTGATCTTGTACTTCACTCCAGCAGCGTGAGTTATGAGGCACCATTTGTCTAGTTTTTTGGCCCAGAACTTACTTTCTACTCTAGAGCCCAACAAATTCATTATAATTTAAAGGGCAGCAAGACGAACATGGAGATGAACAGTCAGATATTCTAGAAATCTGGAAATGTTTAAGAGACCATAAGACCATACTTGTGGTTCCCTTGCTTCTTGCTTAGCCCGAGTTTGAATGTGTTACTTTTATTTTACTGATAAGAAGAGCGAAGAGGAGAAAGGTTTGGTGGCAGAGGTAAAGGACCATTTCAGTGATGTGTTTTTTTAGTTACTGGGATATGGTTTCTTGAAAGGCAGTTTTATTAGGGAATATAGCAAGTTTTTAACTGTAGACAGGTTTTTTACCACAATGTTAGGATAAATATGAATTTTGGAATATGTAGAGCCCTGGTGGTACAGTGATTAAGCACTCAGCTGCTAACTAAAAGGTCAGCATTTTGAACCCATCAGCCACTCTGTGGGAGAAAGATATGCTTCTGTATAGATTTACAGCCTTGGGAACCCTATAGGGACAGTTCTGCTCTGTCCTGTAGGTTCTTTATGAGTTGGAATTGACTGGCCAGCAATGTTTTTTTTTTTAATTAAAAAAATTTTTTTTTAGTGGTGTCATACTTGGGATTTCAACAACTTTTAATTTGTTGTATTTTCAGTTTCAAAATCATTAACTTTCTAGTAATCCTCCTTTCCCCAAACTTAAAATCTTTAAAAAATACTATTTTAAAAATGGAGACAAGGGCACATTTTAATAAGGTGATGTACCATTAAAGAGTGTGCGTGCGTAATGTCCTCTCTTTTATAGCAACAAAAAGCCCGTTGTTATTATTGTCCTTGAACAAGGGTTAAATCTGTAGAATGGCATCAAGAGTATTGAAGACCTAATTTCTAAAATAGTCAAATTGATTGGTTTATATTTATTGAACTTCAGTAATGGGTTAGGATAAAACTGTTTTATGATCATTTAATGTCTAAATTAAATAAACCAAACTCTTGAAAAGATAAAAATTAACTAAGGGAAGGAAAAATTATTAGCATGTCATAGACCAGGAATAGACAGTACTATGAAGTTGATTCTGATTACCTGGCATTAAAGTGATTTATAGTGATTGATCTTTCTTAATTAAACAAAGATTTTTTGTTTTTAAAGCAAGGGTAATACTTTGTCAAATGAACGATAGAAGATTGTTCTAGATTCATGGGAAACATTGGTTTCTCCCTAGATACAAGAATAGAGATTAACGAGATTTGTGTAGTATTGTCAGAGAAGAGCTGGAGGATTTCACTTCTGGATGGCAAGAAGTTAATAGTTTCAGTTAAGATCAAATCAATTTTTAGGTAGCACAAACCCGAAAATGGTGGGTGGAATAAGTATCTAACACTGTTAGATGCATATGCCAATATTAGTGCCGTGTAATATTGAAACTGGAAGAGAATTTGACAGTATCCCTAGCATGACATTGTGGTTAAGTTTTAAAATTACCACCTACAGGGAGGAAGAAATGTGGGAAAGAATGGGGGTGACAGTAACCATATCAGAAATATTTAGAGTTTTTGAAGATAAAGTTGTCAGTGTGAAAGATGTATGCTAACTCAGCATAAAGTTAATCTGGAAGAAAAGCCCCTCAGGACAAATTGCATTGAATGCCGTGAAACTCTTGATCAAGAACATGAATGAAATGCTTCACGAGCAGTTGATGAGTGTTTTAAATGATGTCAACACTTAATTTAAACTGCAAATTAGGGCAATATGAACCTGATGTATGCTTGAGCTGTTTTTCAGTTGAGAAAAGTTCCCAAGCCCTTGCTTAATGCTCCTTTATCTTCTCAAATAAAGGTCATATGTACTGAAACTCAACAGGATTTATAGAATTGATTTCTATATACTCAGGTCAGTGTTCTCTGATAAGATTTAGTTAGACCTAATATTATCTCCAAAACTGTACTGAGAAACCAGAAGTGTTATTTTGCCACATAACTTGCTGTACAGTTCCAAATCTAGAATCCATAGTGATTGGAGATTATCTAATCGTGACTCTTACTGCCCTGTAAATATGTTTTTCCAGGGTCAAAATGAACAAATAGGTAACTGGTTGAAAGCTAATATGTCTACTGAAATTCATATTGTGCAGATTGCATTTGAGGTAGCTGAAACTAATTATAGTAAACAAAGCATAAATTACCAAAATATTAACTATGAAATAATCATATTAATTACTATATTATGTAATTAAATATTCCCTCAACACTTTAGTGGAAGAAGAATATAAAATTACTCGAATATTTCTAGAGGGTTTTTTTTTAGAGGAGGGTGAAGATTAATTTCTGTTGCTATAGATACTATTAAAATAACTTTTAAAAAAATGAAGATGACATAAAAAATATGAGACATTGGAATTTAGTTGAAAAGAATTTAAATACAAATTTTACTTAACCCACGATGTTTCCCTGTGTAAATATTGTACTGACTGAAGTTAAATCCTTGCCAAGTGAGATAGCCAAGGCCCACATTCCATGCCTGGGATGGCAGAGCCTCCATTCCCAGGAATTGTCTGAATTCATAGATTCACAAATGTCATCTGGGTCTGCTTTTTATTGGCTTGCCATAACATGAGAAAACTAGGGAGAAAATAGTGAATTCTCTTAATAAAGGTGAATTTATTTAATTTACATTATAGTCATGTATTTATGGATTATGTACTTCTTGCTTGGTGTTAAAACATCTTTTCTTTTTTTAAAATATGTTGATTTTAAAATGTCCTTGGCAAAATAAAATTTGTTGACCGTATTTTGGAGCCCTCATGGTGCATTGGTTAAGAGCTCGGCTGCTAACCAAAAGGTTGGCAGTTCAAATCCACCAGCTGCTCCTTGGAAACCCTTATGGGGCAGTTCTCCTCTGTCCTGTTGGGTCGCTATGAGTCAGAATTGACTCGACGGCAACAGATTTTTTACCCTATTTTGGACATCCGCTTTTTTTGCTAATTTTACCAGACAGTGAAATCTGGAAGTCTAGAACTTACTAATCGATTTGCCAAATTTGAAGGGTTGGTACATTAAAAATTTAATACATAATGTTCTATCCAGATCTATCCAGTTCTGTCCAGATCATTAAAACTGAAATCCGAAAGGAAGTGTGTTTAGTTGTGTATATAGGTACAAAATAAGTTAATAATTTGGATTTTGTGGTCAGTGAATACTTGTAAAGGCAAGATTCTGCTGTAGAGTTTAAATGTACATGATACATGAAAAATAGACATTAATAAAGGAGAGGTATATTTTCTTGATGTATAGCATTTTCTGAATTAATGTCACCTCCAGCATTCTGTTTGAAAAACTGTATTTGGAGACAATGAGAAGACTAGATTCTAACTAAGACCCAGCTGTAAATCACTAATGTGCCCTTGGTTTCAGGATACTGATACATATAAACAATTCCCTTTTTTTCTCAGAAATTTTGAGGTTAATTTTTTGTATTAAGCTAAATAAAAAGGAATATTAATGTGAAATCTTAAAATATTCTTATCATCTACTCTGTTCATTAATACTACTTTTATGTCTAAGTGTCAGAAAGAGAGCAAGAGAGAGAGAAAAAAGAAGAGGCAGAAAACACCCACAATAATTAATGTGAAACTTTGCAAAGAATTTTTAAAACATACATGGGGAGAAGTATGTTAGAGGCAGTTATTGTTGGATAATCTCTTTAAACTTTCTTGGTTGTTTACACTATATTCTATTTCCTTCCCTAGTGAGAAAAAGAAAGAAAAGGAGCGTGAAGAACTGTGGAAAAAATTGGAGGATCTGGAGTTAAAGAGAGGTCTTAGACGTGATGGGATAATTCCAACTTAACAAAAATAATGACAACAACATTACTAACCTGTGGAGTCACACATTTATGTAGTAGAAGATGGAGCAACAGTTTTCTGTATTGTGCAACTTTACAGTAGATTTCACATTTGTTTCATTATTACAACAGCACTGTATATACCTACCTGTCTCTAAGTAAAGGAAAAACAAAATAAGGACTTCAATCCAAAGTTTGGACAGTAGATGGACTTCTCAGAACTTTGCAAACATAATCATTGTTCTAACCCTCTTTAAAAAAAAAAAAGCAGTCTTCAGAGATCTGTTGATGAAATTGCTGTGTTAAAATTCCATTGTCAGGATTTCCTTATTTATCATTAGCAGAGAGTATGATACAATTTTCAAATGTGAACAATCTTAAATTTAGCTTGTCTTTCTGCTAAGCTGTTAAATGTATTTATAGTAAATGGAAGAAAAAGACTGTCATTTCCTTATAAGTTTGTATAACATCCTCGTCTGGATAACTTGACTGTAATTTGACATCTTTTTCCTTTTGCACATCTTCATGAGTTGAATGTCCACATGGAACGGGGCCATGAATTATAAAGGTCCCTGATAAAAGTTTTGTGTACTGGGGTGAACATCTTTCCAGTAACCAGGTAGTCCTGGTACTCCTTTAGTCTTAAAATTAGGAGTAAAAGAGAAGAGGTGATAAACATGGTAGGGAAGGGAGTTTTGGATTCATTGCATCAGTTTATGGTGAATCTGAATCAATGTCTTGAATCCTTTGAAAACAGGCCCTGGGACATCACAGGCTTCAGTACCTGACCAGTATTAGTTGCATACATCATTGAACACACATACCAGAGACGTTTTAGAAATGTCAGTAAAACATTTGGACCATTTTGAAATAAGAAAGACAAACACTAAACAGTACAACCATGAAATTAATTGCCAAGGATTGCGAATCTGATTGGGGAAAAGAGTTGAGCAAACAGCTTGGACTGTTTGGAGTTGTTGCCTTACTTTTTAATATGTATTTATAAAGTATTCCAGCAAAAGAGGATGTAACCTCTGGGGAAAAAAAAAAAAACACAAAAACATGTTGCAATGTTTTTTGTAGATTCTTGCTCTTTATCTCATCACAGCGCCAGCCCTGTTTTTAGCCAGAAAGGATTCAGGATACACATTATTATGCATTCTGAATTGGATGCGTATTCCTAACTACTGTATTTGTTACCAAAAGTGGTTCTACAAATGCTACTGAAAAATCTGGAAATTCCTTATGTCCTGAGTATTAATAATAAAGTTTAAAAATGCTTTTATATCAAAGGTGCATTCTGACCAAATTGTTTAAGGAAAAAAACAAAATCTAGGGCTGTACTGTAGATATATCTTATTGGCTCTCTGCTTTGTATTTAAAAGAGGAATCTTACACCTTGGGTAGATAATACGCTGATAAAACTTGTATGCAGTATGTACTTACCTAATGCAGTTGCATTATTATGTACTGAAAGATACATGTTTTGGGATTGATTGCCGGGATGCTTTTGCTTGTTCTGAACACAGCAGTAGTGAGTTGATAATCCTAAACCATCCCTCCAGCAGTATTCGTGGTATAGAGCTGATTCTGTGTTCATGTGTTGAATTGTGATAGTAGCAAACATGAACATATGAACTGTTGTTGCTCTTAATAGAAATACAATATAAATATGGGCTTGTATATTTTCTTCCTTCCATTTAAATAGAAAGTAGAATATGCAGTTTTATTGTTTCCAAGAAAAAGGGGAAAAAGCAAAAAAGCCCCTAACCTTTCTCCCCTATTAAGTGTTTCAGGATTATCAGGTTACAGATTGTGTGTAAAAGTCAGCTAATTATGGATATTGTCATCTCAGTAACTTTGTAACTTTAGAAACTTGGCATTGTTAATTCTGGAAAAGAAACAGCAGTAAAAGAGTCATATGAAATGCCAAACACACCATGGTTTAATGGAATAAATAGATTTTTTTTTTTTTTCTTAAAGAGGAGATTCAGTGTAAAGTTGGCACAGGCTGCCAAAGATGAAACAACTTTAAAAGCGCTGGAGCAAAGATGCAAGTTCAAATACTAAAGATAAAAAATAAATTTGTAACAAATCATCTTTCTTTAGCCCTTTTGATTTTAGCCCTTTGGTTTCGACTATGCATCCCATTTATTTTTGATAGTCTAAACTTTTGTTTGCTGTTAATTCATCTTTTTAAGTAGAGGACAAAAGATCATAGATTTATGAAGTATCTGTGTCCATTGGCATGAAATGCAGTCATTTGAAATGAGAAAGGCCAGGATCCTGTCCTCAGTTAAGGTGAGAACTACATACGCAGAAATCTTTCATGTCAATTTTATATGTTGATCATTCCAAACTGGGAAGAATAAAGCCAAATTTTAGACATATTTAAAGAAGCAGTTATAGGTATATGTCTAAAATTCATAGGGCAACTTCTGAGAAGAAACAGTCTTTTCTATTTTAACTGAACGTGACAATGTGACATTTGTCATGTTGTGTCCAGGGACACGAGTAACTGAGGTGATCTGACTGTTGCACTATGTGACATATTTAAGGACATACTTGCTGCATTTGCAGCAACCCTCTCTCCTTGTCCCTTCCTACAATTCTGCTGTTGCTGCAACTTGAGGTAATTGTGACAAATGCATCTCTGTGTTATATTTTGTTTGCTTCATAATTCCCAGAACTATATATAAATATATTTTTAAAATAGCAAATACTGTAGTTAGCGAGTGTTGATCACTCCAAACTTGTCCCTACCATATTGGTTTTAGGGATAGGATTCAGAGTGTCTTTGGAAGAAAAAACAAAAACCCTGTGGTTTAGAATGATGCCAAGGCCTTAGGCTGTGGGCCTAGAACAGGTATGTGAGTGAATTGACCCATCTCGTACTTTGAATTGAGCATGCGTTCCTTTTCTCATCGTGTAAGCGTCCCTGGTTGTTTTCCCTCAGTGTTTAGTTATTGTCCTTCTTAATTTTATTATATTTTGCTCTTGCCAACATCTGAGTGTTTTTTATAAAATAAAATAATAAAAAATAAAAAAGTAAAGAAAGAAATAATGCCCTTGATGCCGCTGGATACTCACAAGCAGGGTCACACTCCTTCATCATGGGCTCGCTTGCCTAAGTGGAGGGGTTTAATTTATTTTGTACGTCCTCTGCGTGGGAGAGTCCGGAGTGCAGAGCCAGGAATTGCTTATAATTGCACCTGCTGTACTTAAAAGTATGGCCCTAGGCTCAGTCACACTATGGAAAGAAAGAAAAAAAAAAGTATATTTAGAGCTTTAAAAGCTTTTTTATTTTTTTGTGAGGGTGGGGGGTGGGGAAGGGAAGATGTATGGATGTTATTGGCATTTTTAAGTGTTTAGAGTCTTTTTTTCCCCCCCTTTGTTCTGTTTTGCATTTTCTCTTTAATTGGATGCACTGACCTGACCCAGGAAGTGAAAACATTCTCTCTTTTGATGCTCTCACCAATGTTACACAATGTGACAGTCATCTGTAGCAAAAAAGGTGGCACCAGACATGATCAGTGATGTTTTATTTGCACATGAATATTTTTATTTTTGTATTCTGGCTCAGCTGCTTCTCTGAGTCGAGTGAAGGAATGAGCCACAGAGGATTTTTCTAGCAGGTGTATTGGCAATGCATTTTATATTCCCAAATATTTAATTTTGGGAATCTAAAAGAAGGATTGTGCATCTTGAGAGAAAGTTGAGTGAAGTTTGATCTAGCAGAATGTTAATTTGTGCTGCTTCTTGTGCACGATAGCAGCGGTAGTATCTGTCTTGGAAATAAACATCCCATATTATGATGTCTATGAGTATAGGTTTCCTTTTCTTCCTTCCCTTTCTCTCTCTCTCTTCCTTTATTTTTTTTTGAAATCACTCAGTGTAAATAAGTTGTAATCCAGACTTCATGTATCAATGGGGAACTTTCAAATATAAATATTACCAATACATTTTCTGGTTGTTGTCTGATTTTTGACTAAAGTATGAAGAAATTGACATGCCCATTGCTTTTGGTTTGAGGATTTTGCTCTAGCTTCTTAAGCCTTTTGGTATTTTAGTATTTCATTGTTTTAGCAGGAGAGGGCAGCAAAAGTTCATTTTCCTCTTTAGAAATCATGTGATCCATGACTGGTTTTAAATTTAGGTCTGTGTATTTGTTTCTGTTTTTTTCTTTTTTTAAACAGCATCTGTTTGTTGGTAGACATAAAAATGAAACGTTTTTGATATGAAAAGTTGCATATGAAAATTATAGACTGGCTCAACTAGACAATGAATGAAGACTTCTGATCCACATTAAAGTTAAAATGCCTCAAAACAATCTCCCAGCTCTGGCTCAAATATGCTACATCCTTTTTAAACACAGCAAAAATGCAAGCTGAGTCTTAATCACTTGGAGTTTAAAATGTCTTTCTTTGGAATTGACTTACTTTCTTCAAAGCGGTAACAGAAACAAAACATGAAGGTGCTCCCAAAGAGAAATGTAACCTTCCCCTTTCACAGATGTGTGAGAGGTTCTGTACTGTGGGTGCATCATAATAAAGAAGCAGTGAAGAGTTTTCAGGTGCCTGGCTGTTTTTGTTTGTTTCTGACCTCTGGGATCTTTTTGAACTATACAAACCGTAGAGTTGATTAACTTAACTTTGAGGCAATGGGGTTGGTGTGTTCTGGCTTTTATTTTGAGAAAATCAGCTTATGATTAAGGGCATGTGATGTTTCAGATCATTCTGGTATCTGTTGCTGTGTAACAAAATACCCCAAAATTTAGTGCCTTAAAACAACAACAGTCATTTATTTTGTTCACTAGTCTGCAATTTGGGCAGGACTTGGCAAGATGGCTTGTCTTTGTTCCTCAGAACAGAAGAATTTACTTCCAGCATGGTTGGCAAGTTGGTGGTGGCTGTTGGCTGGGAGTTTAGCCAGCGGCTTTTTTCCTCTTGACCATGTCCTCTTCACAGGGCTTTGGCTTCCTCACAGCACGGCAGGTGGGTTCTAAGAATGATTATCTCAAGAGACAGGAAGTGGAAACTGCCAGTCATTTGAGACCCTGGGCCCAGGAACTGGCAAAGCATCACTTCTGTCATATTCTGTTGGTCAAACAGTCTCAGAATCTGCTCAGATTCAAGTGGAGGGGACATAACCTCACCATTTGATGGGAGAAGTGTCAAATAATTTGCAGTCATCTTTACCATGGGATAGTTTCTTTAAAGCACTGGATTTAGGTATGATTACTCTCTTGACCAATTGAATCACATCAAGTTTGGATACATGTAGAGTGAACTAGTTAATGTTTCATATTCAGTGAAAATCTGGATTGGGAGAGAAGGTCAGCAATTGTAAATTCAGTAATTTTTTATTTCAAAACAACCATTTGTAACATCTAAAGACCAATCATTTGGTAAATTACAGGGAGAAGAAACTTATAACAAATAATTTTAGGGTTCAAAGAGATTTAAGAGATATTTCCTTAGCATAACTTGCCTCCTGCCTATGAATATATATTTACAACAAAGGAGGCAAAGTAAATGTATGGTCCAATTCCTATTTCCCAGGTTTTTATATAAGTAATGTGTCCTGGGGGTTTCTATAAGATTAAGTTCACGTTGTTGTTAGGTGCTGTTGGGTTGGTTCTGACTCACAGCAACCCTATGTACAACTGAACAAAGTGTCGCCCAGTCTTGCACCATCCTCACAAATGTTGGTAAGTGTGAGCCTATTGTTGCAGCCACTGTGCTGATCCATCTTGTTGAGGGTCCGCCTCTTTTTCATTGACCCTCTACCAAGCAATTTCATGTTAGACTTTTTTTTTTTTTCAGCTGAGACTGAACTCCAGGATAGTTAAGGGAAATTAAAAATTGGATTTTTTTCTGATTATGATACATATTTATTATACACATTTATCTTGAAAAGGCAGAATTAAAAAAAAAACAGTTGCATAACTGCTGTTTCCCATACCTAAAAGTCCTTTCTACAAGGCGTGTGCGTTCATTGATTGGTTGGACCAGTATGTATTGAGTGGCTCTTCTCCATGCTCTTAGCCTTTCTCTGATGCTCAAATTTCC